AGAGGTATGGTATGGAAAATGAATGGAATGCCAATCAGACCAAGCAGCTTGAAAAGTAAGTCAAAAGGCAAACATATTAACACCAGGTGATGGACTGGCAGAGGTACAAAACTTTCTAGATCCTAGACATCTATGGAACCAATGCTACAGTTGAGAGCCTCTGTTGTGTGAGGAATCTCAGAGATTTCTCAGTTCATTCCTGTTGTTGTTGTTGTCATGTGCCAACAAGTCAGATCCGACTCATAGCGACCCTTCCTTGGGTTTATGAGGTGATATCACTACAGAAGTAGATTGCCCAACCTTCCTTCCGAGGAGTGGCTGGTGGGTTTGAACCACTAGCTTTCTGGGTAGCAGTCAAGTGCCTTAGGCGCTACGCTACCAGAGCTCCTTCAGTTCATTCCTGTTGTTGTTGTTGTTGTTGTTATGTGCCGTCGAGTCGGCCCCGACTCATAGCGACCCCTCCTTGGGTTTCCGAGGCAGTATCACTACGGAAGTAGGATTGCCCAACCTTCCTTCCGAGGAGTGGCTGGTGGGTTTGAACCGCCAGCCGTCTGGTTAGCAGGCAAGTGTCTTAGCCACTATGCTACCAGAGCTCCTCAGTTCATTCCTAGTGGTGTGGAAATTAGGCCACTGAGAGCCTGGGCTGAATCCTCTTTTATTTCCATAAGGATGGACCTAAAAAATGCATTAATCAACTACTCATACACATCAAGTGAAAAAAGCTTAGCGTGAGTTGCACACGGGAGCTGGGTGGCCCTCTGTTCTTGGAAGGAAGTGCTTGTATCATTCTGTGTAACTGCACAGGCCTATCCAGAACACAAATGATGCATTCCCAGCATTCTCTGCAGTTCTCGCACAAGGGACCCGCGCTTACTATCTACTTCATAATAAATAAAGCTAATTATACCCACAGTGTTCGCTGCGTAGGATATAAAACAAAACTGGCACAGTCACAAATGTGAGCAATAATTTTTGAGCTAGTTGATAAAGCTAGCCACTAAACCAAGCCCGAGCCAAATCTCATCATTCATGTGGGTTCCATTACACTTTTCCAGGAGCTTCTAGTTGCAAGTCAGTGGGAGCCTCTGATAGCCTTAGATGACAGTCAAGGGCAACATGTAAAGCAAATGGCTCTTTTATGGCAATGACACTCCAAACATTACTATTGTTCTTCTAAAAGCTTATTGACTTTAGATGGAGACACTTAATACATGCCATTGATTCTTTCATTTGCATAAGATTATTTACTTGCCAAACAATTCTAATAACAAATTGTGCCAAGATGCAAGGCTATCTACACCAGCAGATTTTTCTCCTAAGGTAAGAATACACACAAACATCTGTTTATCTTTATACATGTAATCATGTATAAAGCTACATTTATTAACCCATTCATTTCTGATTCCACTTGCTATAAGTAGGTCTTTTACTGTTTTCAAATGCAGTTTCCAGAAATTTCTTCCAAGCTCAACTATAACACATCAGTCCTTCCCGTTGTTGTTGAATGCTAATAAATTCTATACCATCAAGTTTTTAAGTAAACAAATTATTTGTTTAAGTAAAAAGCCTTGATTGAAAAGCTAGCCTCTTGGAATAAAGTTGGTTAGACTTACAGTGTCCTTATTACTGAAAAAGAAATGCTAAGATGCCAGGAAGTGCTTTAGGGATAAGAAGTAAAATTCATTGGCCACACATCCACGTGTACACAAATAAATAAATGTAGGTGCATGCACACACATATCACATTTCAATAATGGTTTGTGATAATTCAATTCACACATATAATCTTCTGTGCTTATTTGCATATGTTAGAAAGCTTTCTGTTTCCTGGTCATTTCTCTGTCACCCCGCGAGACGCATTTCACTAACACATGTCAGCCTCTGCCATTGGAGTCAGGCAAAGAGCTGAGAAAGCTCACAGACCTGCTATGATTGCTCTTAGGCTGAATCTTCTGGCTAATCACTCACCCTTCCACTCATGGAGGATGGCCACACTGGCTAGAGACTCGGAACCCAATGCCCGGAACTCCTGGTGTGGGAACTGGTGCTGACTTCTAACGTGGAGAGCTTGTGGAAAGTGCATCAAGATTTAATAAGGTGAATTATCAGACTTGCTCCAAGTTTTACCCACATAAACTCCATTAGGTTCTTATCTCCATCATGCTACATCCTGTCCATACTGACACCCGCATGCTCATTGACATGCTTCTAAGCTCTCTGTTGGGCTGTCGAACCTCTCTTTTGCTTTCCTTCTATTTTTGATTGCCACCCTACCCTTGAAGGCTGTATATGCATTTGACTTGACGACCGTAAGCTTCCCTCTACTCCTCTTTCAAATCCTCCCTTGAGACCTACATTTTAAGAGAAACACTTTCTCCACTGATTTCCTACCCTGATTATTACACCTGGCCCATTTTTCATTTTTCACACAAGGCTCCACCAATGTCTATTTGCACCGTCACCAAAGGCTGCACACACGCAAGCTGCTCCTTGGATAATCACTTCTGGAGTTGAGGACAGGTCGGGCCCTTTAAAAAATGCACCTCTCACTCCCATGCTAGAGCACCAAGTGAAAATATGAAGTCATTTCTGAATCTGGGTCAGGCATTTTGTGAATATACAAGAGAGAGGGTTACAATAGAGTGGACTTCGCTAGGGCTGTGATGAGGTATGGAAATGGGCTGGCAGATGCTTTTGTGGGGCAGGGCTGTCTGCAGAGCAGTCCTGAGAGGGAACGACAGTTGATCCCAGGGAAGGAGAAAAGACAAGAATGATACCCCAGGCTCCTATGACAAAGAACCCTCTGCTTTCATAGCAGCTCTCTTGTTTTTAAGTATTAACCCCCTGCCTTGAGTCATCCCATTGAGATGAGGATTGCTCGATGACTGTGCAGTGGTGGAGTAGAGTAATACACAGGCAGACAGAGTACAAGGAAAGAAAGAGAATCGAGGGTGGATTTTCTATCAATCCTTCACCATTGTTCATGTTATTTGATTAACACCATGGTTAGAAAATGTAGTCAAGTAACCATTTTTGCAAGTCATTCATTCAACAAACATTTATTGAGTATCTACTACGCGACAGGCGTTTGCTAGGCGCTTGGGATACAGAGAAGAATAAGGCATGGTCCTTGCCCTCAAGGAGCGCACAGTCTAGGGGAGAAGACAGACGTGTAAATGAATAACTACAATACAACAAAATAGGTGTCGGTCAAGGTGTATACAAAGCACTAGAGGAGCCTAGAGGCAGCAGTTGGTAATTAAGCCTGGTGGAATCAAGCAAGCTTTCACAGAGAAAGTGACAACTGAGCAGACTTGAAGGAGAAACAGGACTTCACCCAGAAGACAAGGGAGGGTAGGGAAAGACATTCGAGGCAAGGGCACAGCAGGCACAAAAGCAAGGAAGTATGACAAAGCATGGCATGACAGGGAACCACAGGAAGTTCCATGTGGCTGGGATTGAATTGGGGATTGAAGAAGTGGTGAAATATGAGGCCGGAAAGAGAGTGTGAAACCAGAGAGAAGAGCCTCATATGCTAGACTAAGACATTTGGACTTTTCCCTGGAAGCGATGAGAAGGCACTGAAGACTTAAAAGCAAGGAGTGACATGGTCAGGTCTGCCTGTTAACTCGGCCTGTATGGAGACAGTTTGGAAGAGAGGTGGGACGACAGAGAGGTAGACCAATGAAGAGGGGCTGCCAGAGCCATCCAGGCAAGAGAGGCTCCCGGGCGGTTCCAAGACAGTGAGGGTAGAGAAGTGACAGACTTGAGTGATACTTAGAAGGAAGTGTGACAAGACTTGATGAATAATGATACCAAAAAGCAAAATAGCCTCAGAAATGAAACAATATTAAAAACACGCATTCAGAAAATATAACCGGAAGCCCCAGTCTCCCCTTCCTTTGGGTTCCCATTGTCCTCTGAAACCACTGCATCTGCTGTGTGTGAACACAGGGAGAAGAGCCAGAGGGCACACACGGTCACACTTCTCTAATCCAGACACCTCTATCTTGGAATCTGCAACAATTCAGACACTTAGCGAGTGAGAATTTCAACCTACTTTCTTCCTCTGTGGTTTTCCAAGCCTTTAGTCAACCAGTAACAGGAATCCAATCTAAAGGCAGTGGCATCTTCAAATCAAGCACTTGAGGTGCAGTAGGCAGATGCTTACATGGTGGTATCTGAGGGCAGCCCCATATATGTTCCCCACCCAGAGACCACCAGGTCCAGAATCCCATCATTAGCAATCCATTCCTTTGGAAGAGGCTTTGGTCCCACCGGGCTTCTCTTTTACAAGGCAGTGATTCCTGAGATGGGTAGGACATCTGGTCATTCTAAACTCAGTGGGATTTTGGTTGATCCTAATGCTTTTTGCTTGGACAGAAGGGGTCAGAGTAGTATAAGAGGGCTATGTAGGAACCTGTGGAAGAAGGTGATGCAGAAGGGAAGAGCAAGGAATACAGAAGACAACATAAGATCTTGCCAAGGGATAGCCCTGCAAGTACTCAAGAAACTAAGATTCTTAAAGAATGCCTTCCACTTCTGTTTCCAGCAAATCACACTTGTATGTTCTTGAACTTTAAGGAACTTTTGTGTGTTGTAAGCTTATGATGTGCCATTGGCTAAGGAGGGCCTGTGATGACTCAGTCTATTCACACACCTCCTACTACTTAACACAAAATAGAATCGAAAATGGCATTAGTTTGCACATAATACTACTACGAATGCATTTTCAGACACTATTTTACAACCCCAACTTTTCATTCACTCAGGCTGACCTTGTCTTTGGTCCTTCTGCATTATTGTGATTTAACTATATTTGCTGAGTGTTAATCAGTCATGTCACAGTGATAGAGAATCGAGAATCAGACCCTGACCTTGAAGAGTCTCATGTACAGCTCAATAAGTCAAATAAGCTGCTTGGGAATACTTGATCAGGGAGGTTAGAGCAGTGAGTTAAAAAAAAAATGAAGCAAAACAAAACTTTAAAATTTACTTACTTCATTTGTTTGAAGAATCGTGAACTTTGGCAGTTTAGTCTTTGTACTGGTTGCGCTGGACTTTCCATCCAAGAGTGATCCAAACGACAGATTTCCAAAGCTGTTCTCGAATTCGATCGAAGGCTTTAATATTGGCGAGATGTCCGGGGCCTGGTCCTGGCCATCCATGGGTCTTACGTATGCAGTTGGCTTCTGCTGTCCCATGCTTGGTTTGCAGTAAAGCCCTGGTGGGAAGCTTTGAACAGAAAGGCCACTGCTGGGAGCTAATAAAGAGGAGGCAACTAGGGGAGACCCAGGTGCTTGCACTGTAAATTCAGACTCTCCTGGTGAGTTGGATTGAAAGATTTCTTTGAAAGTCTCCTCTCCATTGGATTGGGGGTTGCTGTCTTCCTTTGCAGTTGGGTTTGGCTCTTCAGCTGCTCCAGTCAGGGGCTGTTCGGCTGGGTACACAAAGAAGTCTTCCAGTCGGGCTTGAGGCTGGTCTTGTGCTGACGCTGGCATCTTGCTTGGCTGACCAGTGGCCTGGCTTCCTGGTACAGTGCCGGGGTTAGGGCTATCTCGTGGCCAGTCGGGCTTAGATTTTCTGTTGCTGTGTATTAGGGTTGAATTCAGTATCACAACAGAAGGTGGCGGCATTGGTGCTGAGGGGTGGGTATGATCCTGGTGAGGTGGGATCATTCGGTTTTTTTGCTCTGGGAAAAAGCTGGGTTCGTTTTTGTTGATGGGAGTCTGGGGCACGGAATTCTTTGGGATTCCCACTAGCTGGTTCTGATTAGAATGGTTAGTTAGCAAATCCTTCATTTCATCATAGTTCCCCAGCGTGTTCTGGACTCGGTTGGCAAGTGCGTCACCTTTGTTTGTCTAAAATAACAAAAAGATGGGGGTGGGAGGAGAGACAATGAATAGGTTTGTGTTTCCTAATGTTAATGTTTCAAACAGATGCCCTAAGTAGACTAGCATATAGCGTTCTTTAAAATTGTCATGAGGTCATATAATGTTATACGACGTGCTCTGTGAGGAAAAAATACCAAAAACGCTATTGAAAAGAGCCTCTTTAGCATGAGCTGGTGTGATCCACGTTTGTATACTCCCTGGCCTGTCCTTAAACATGCTCAATGGGAGAAAGTTCAAATTATGCTGCTTATGGATTTTATTAGTGAAATAACTTATCTGACATCAGACGAGCTGAATTGTCACATTTCACACCGGGATTAATAACGGTGGCTGACTGATCTTGGGAATAATAACGGAATGTTCAACTTAAGTATGTTCTTGACGCATCAGCCCTTGGAACTACATTACACCACGCAAAAGCTTAGCTCACTGAATACGAAACGTCAGTTCTTTCATGGCTACATTAAGTTTAGAAAAGGTATAGACTTAAACAACACCTAATTGAGCTCATTTATGCCTAAAGCTGATCTACGTAATTCCTTTCAATCAAAGAACTGTCTAAATCCCTGCTGTCTGCCTACATATTATGTTTACGTACTGATGATTCATACTTGTTTACTTTGAAACGGTGCAGTGGTGCGCTGTTGTTCATCAACAGTGATTCAAGCTCTTGCGTCTTTTCAGTGATTTACAAAAATTTATTCAAGATTTTAAGCTTTTGCTTAAGTAAACAAACACCAAGTTATATTTTCAAAGTAATATTGACCTAATAGGTACACTGAGAGGTGACAAGATTATTCCATGGACAACCAACATACCAGTTTCCCCATTCCTTGTCCCAGCAAAAAAAAAAAAAAAAAAAAAAAAAGAACCCACTGCCACCAAGTCTGTTCCAACTCCTAGCCAGCCTGCAGGGTAGAGTAGAACTGCACCCATAGGGCTTCTAAGGCTGTAAATCTTTACAGAAACTGACTGTCACATCTCACATCTTTCTCCTGCAGAATGGCTGGTGGGTTTGAACTGCCGATCTTTACGGTTAGTCACTGAGCACTTTAACCACTATGCCACCAGGGCTTTTTCCATTCCCTGGAGGATATACTAATCCTATTAAAATGTCTGTGATTGTTTTTCAAAGAGTTGGGCTCCTGCCTGAGTTTTGCGTTCATCACTACAAAACAGTGGGTAGCTTTCTGTATACCTGGAAATGACTTCCTTGAAGCTCAGGTTTTCATCTTGGAAAGTGAGTTTTATCATTTTCCTTACATGCCAAACACAGTATCAAAACAAGCTGCTGAATTCAGAAGAGTAGAGGATTTCTTGGTGCCTTGGCTGCACTATCGTGACCCAAGATGTCGCAGTGAAAGAAGGCTGCGGAGCCAATGGATAGATAAGACACTCACTCTACGTGGCCTTCGGCACACTCCTCATGCAAGGGGGGGGGGCGGGAAGATCACCTCTCAACTTGTACATTCTCCCAGGCAGACAGATGTGTAACCTCTAATGTTCCTCACAGCCTAGCCTTAATATAGCCTAGACGCCTGGTGTGCCCAGGGTCTAAACCTCAGTTGCACACTGGGTGCTGGTCTCTGTGTAGGAAGACGGGAGAGTGATCAACATACACATGGATGGAGGGTGAAGTTCTAGAAATGGGTGGGATCACCCAGGGAAAAAAAATGTAGAACGAGAAGAGCAGGCTCAGGAGAGGACCCTGGGGAACCCCACCATTTAAGAGCCTAGGAGAAGAAGAGCCAGTCAAGGGTACTCAGAAGAAACAATCAGAATCAAACCAGAAACCCTGGCCTCACCATTAGCGTCATCTCTTTATGTTGCATAAAGGATTAAATCATATAAGATATTCCAAAGAAATGAGGGCAGTTATGAGAGAAACATGCATTTCACAGAGCAAGGAAAAGTATGCTAATTATACACTAAGGGGATTCAGTGGGGGTGGGGAATGTTAGGAATCAAATAAATAGGTGTCAATTTTCATTTGCTTACTTGCAAGAACATCTTCTATTACATCATATGCAACCTTGGTGCTCAAGCCGTGATTAAACAATTAACATTCCTTATAATCCTCAGCTGAATAATCACTCTGTTTTCAGGAGCACATTTGAAAGACATATTTAATAGCTATAGATGGGGAGAAATCACTTTCATTTGCTAAAAGTCCCTAGGTGTGTCATTTTTAATGACAGAATTCACATATTAGCTAAGGCAAGAATAAACTCTTTGCACATAGCAGGCTCCTGCAGCTGAGTTGTACAATGAACCATTTGGGTAGCAGCCAATGCCAGTCTCTCTGTTCAATCCTTAAATCTACAACAAGGAGATTCCATTGTGCGCAGGGCCCAGCAGGAATCTGATGCAAGCTTTGAATGCTTGCAGGGTGGTTCTGGCCCCTCAAACAGTTTGCTCATTGGCCAGATGGCTGCTCGCTGAACAGTGGTATCTGGCTGTCTTCAAGGGTCTGCCCTAACAAGGGGAAACACCGCCATTTCATTTCCCATTTGAAACACTGTCATCTTGTTATCTGGCTGTGCTCTCCCGGGTCAACTTCCCCAAGGCCCACTTGCTTGTAAGCAAGCTAGCCACAGTCCTGTTCCCGTTCCAGAAGTAAACACCAGGGGCGTGTTTATCTTATCCTCACTGGAGAGAAACTTGGCTAGGTGATAATGGTTCTTCACTTATATTTACCCTTATAATAAGCCAGTTTCTAATACATGCCTAGATTTCTTTTTTCACCTCTAGGCTTTAAAATAGGCTTAAAATTAGGAGAATTTATAAACTGGCCACTGTCTACAACTGTGTCTACATGAATGAAATTAAGTGATAGTTGTTTTGTGAATAATTCTAGAAAATCAACCTTCTGTTACATAGTTCATACTACAGTTAGGATTTATTTTCCTCTGCCTAAGACCATGAACTGTTAAAGGGCAGCGGCCATCTTTTACTCATCTTTACAGCCTCAAGACTTAGCACCATGTCGGATGTATAGCAGGTCTTCAATAAATAAAGGTCACTGAATTGAATAGAACCAAACTATGATTCACACCCTGCATGTGCTAGCATATATGGATCTGTAATAGCTTAGAGTAAAAAGTACAAAAAGTAAAAGTTAAGCTAACTAGCTTACTGTGATTGAACATTAAATTGAACTTTGAGCTGCCTGGTACCTAAGGCAAAAAGGAAAAGCCCTCGAGTTATAGAATTCTCTTTTCTGATGGAAGGGAGCACATCCTAATTCATTACATGAGATAAACGGTTGTCTGATACTAAAATCTCAAAAAGAATTCCTCTCATTAGTTCATTCACAAGGACCTTTGAGAAAAAAAAAATTGAACAATGTTTTCAGCACCAATGTTAGAGAAGATGCAAAAACGCTCCTCCTGTGGCTTTTTCTATGACGACTAAAGGGCAAGAACATCGCCTTGCAAGTAGAACCTGGTGAAGACATGTCAGCCTGTGAAGCTAGGAGACTAGTCTACTAAGATCCAGGTGTGTGCCCTCATGACACAGGGGTAGAGCTGTCATGAACTGGACGGATGGAAAGATGTCATCTCCCTTAGACTAACTTCCTCGCAGAGCAATTGTCTCGGAGGCACTTGTGACAGGAACTGCATAGCAGACAGTTCAAGGTTGAGTTCACCGGCGACACTTTCTGAGTTGCTGATTGAAGGAAGATCCATATGCTTTGCATAACAGACGTGCCATGGCTACAAGTAGGACTTACCACGGTCCTTCTTAAGACGAATACTGGCAAATTCAAAACATGCAGGGCGTAGGATTAGGCAAGGAGGACACACAGACACACAGCTTCAAAAAGTCCACCATTCAACAATCCCTGAATAATTAACAGCCCAGTCCAGGCTGCTGGAGTAAACTCGCTGCCTTCCCATCACTGAAAGTGGGTCACTGTCAACCCGTTTTTAAATTTCTCAAGATGCAGATATGAGTTCCACCGGATAGAAAACCCAATGGGGCCTGAAATACATTTACATACACCTATACAACGTCCTCTCATTATACACCATAGCAACTTCAGATCCACACAAAAATGGTCTCCTTTTTCTGCCCTCCTGAGTCTCAGTAATCCTATTAAGGAGAAAGGTATTCTTGGCAATCTTGACTGAACATTATAAACATGGCAAAAATGAAATTTAGCCATTTCAATCAATTATAGGCTTCCTTCAATTTGGCCAATTCTTTACTTCCCGTTCTAGATAATTGGTTGATTCCTTAAATGTAACCTCCATAGCCGTTATTTTCTAAGTAATCACAATTTTTCCATCATCAAGGAAATGCATTTTCCCAGTATTCTCGGGCATAAATTACATGTCTGGTTTGTGGCTCATGACTAACAGCACTCCTTCATTTAAGCTTTTTGCCTCTCATTACTCCAGGAAACGCAAGCTTCCCTCAGTTTGCTTCTAATGTTATCTACAAATCAATAGTATAATTTCATTGTAAGTCTAATTTCCTAGCAGGGTAGAGTACCCTGGTATATCTTTTTAATAAAAGTAGCAAACTAATTTAAGTTCTGAGGTTCATTTTTTTTCACTGATTAAATAAAAATATGTGATTTGGTTATTTGTTTTTCCCCCTAATTCGAATATTTTTGTAGTTCATCTCTCTCACCTGAAAATGGCCAGTTTTTTCTTTAATCTAATTATAATAATGAGAATACCTTGAATTTGTATAGCACCACCCCAATTTCAAAGCAAAATCTCTCGGGTTGTTTCATTTGATCCTTACAACAGCCATGTATGTGAGTAGCCGAGCACATGGAGCTGCTTTGGCCTCTGTCTAACCCAACCCAAATGACCTGCGGAAAGTCACTTAACCTCTGTGCCTCAGTTTCCTCTTCCTTGTTGATATGTGAAGAGCTATCCAATGTTGATTATGATTTAAAAAACAAAACAAAACAAAAAAAACCTCACTGCCGTCGAGTCAATTTAACTCATAGCAACCCCTCCTTGGGTTTCCGAGGCAGTATCTCTACAGAAGCAGATTGCCCAACCTTCCTGCTGAGGAGTGGCTGGGGGGTTTGAACCGCCAGGCTTCTGGTTAGCAGTCAGATGCCTTAGGCACTACACCACCAGAGCTTGAGGGGTCAGAGAAATGAAGTTTCTTCCTCAAAGTCACATAGCAGATAAGGTTATCAAGTCTTCTGATTTTCTGTTGGAGGATGAATAGCTTCCTGTAACAGAGAGGGGCTCAAACAGAACTGGGTTCAACGTCTACATGCACCACTTAGTAGGAGTGAAGCTGCAAACAAGCCACCTCACCTTGCTGAGACTCAAACGCCTCCTGGCAAATGCAGAAAGTTGTTCAAAGGACTGAACAAGCATGTGTGTCAAGCCCCCGCACAGTTCCCAGCACACAGTAGGCATTTGGTATATGCCAGTTTCTCATTCCACACAGTCTTTTCGCATGACTAGACAGGTCCAAAGACTTCAGGTTTTTCAAGCACTTTCTAAGACATCCTTCTCAGTAGCAGAGCACCAACTCAGATTTGAAAGTTATAAGCTACAACAACAGCCCTAGAGAAAACTTCCCACTGCCAACTGAATCTCGGGGTGGTAATTCCATTTCAGGAATAGTAGAGGAGGTGCAAAGAAGAGAAAGAAAATCAGCCAGGAACATGAGAGATCACCATCTCGCCATACTTCCAGGAAAAAGTAGTGCGTTGAGAATCCTAAGGACTGGTGCTCAAGGCTAATTTAGGCACCACTGACACTACCGGCCACGTGATCAGGTCATGTTTTAGGCTTCAGAGAGGCATCCACCACCGGGAATTTTGACTCTTTATTTGATAAGCATCCCCGCTCCAACCTTCAGGGAGAGTTCTGGGATGTCCAAGTCTCTACCAGTAGACCATGTGCCTGCTCTAAAATTTCCATGGCCACCAGGATGTCCAGAACTCTAAGCGTGTCCATGCCATTCCTAGTCTGGGAAGTCTTTGGAGGTGCTCATCAGTTCTGGGATCCTACTGTGGGGAAGGGCAGGCATAATCCCCAGTGATCTCCCAGGGAACACTGAACAGAGATACAGTGCAAGATGACAACTGATTAAGGTAAGGGTGAAAGGAAGAGAATTACTCAGTCACCAACTGTTAGCAACTCTTCCTTCCTTTCGCGATCTTTCCCCACTGGGAAGCACAAAGACAATAGGCTACTTACTAATCACACACTGGCCTGGCCCTACACTGGACTCAATGTTCCCATCTGTGTCTCTACTTGATGTACCCTTGTAATATCAAGACAGATGGTTTTTTAAAACTTCTGACAATGTTGATAATACATTTTTATTTTCAAATACAAACTCACAAATACACTAACATATCTACAAATAAATTTGCATCTATATGACAGATCTTGTTAACAAGAGATGGCTTTACCTTAAAGGCACCAGACCATAATTCACCAGGACTCAAAATTATAAAGGGGTAATAAAGTAAGGATTTTGCACCTACTAATATTGCTGAGGATGGAGTGGATATTGAATTTTAAGAATAATCCCTTTGAGTAAAGCTCATTATTCTAACCCATCCAAAGGTAAGATATAAAACTAACCTGGCTGTTCCTCCTTCATCTCACAAAGGGACAAGGCTCCTATGTCCTTGGACCCCTCTTCCCATTATCTGGGGAAAAATAAAATGGAGGCTGCAATCTCTCACCCACCTCAAATCTCCCTTCCATTCTCCTCTTTGTTTTCATCTTCATGCTGCATTTCCATTTTCCTCCACATGCTAATTGCTCTTCACATGCTCTTGATTTTGTGTTTTCTCATCTCCTGGAGCTGCTACTTATTATCACCTCTCTCTCCTATATTTTCTCCCTTATTTTCCTTCTACATTGACATTGGTTCCTTCCCGTCAACCTCTAAACATGTTCAAGTGTCTCTTACTTAAAAAGAAAAACTTTTCTTCATTTACTTTCTAATATCTTTTTCCTTCCTCCCTCCATCCAAAAACTCTGCAAGATTAAGTCTATCTCCATTGCCTCTCTCTCCTTACTTTACCACTTCCCAATTACTCTCTGTGCCAGCCTGATCACCACTGGGATCATCAAATAAAACAACTCTCTTGAAGGTCACCAATATCCCTTGCCTAGCAATTCCAACAGCCACGTTCCAGTCCTTACCTTTCCTGACCTCTCTATTGCACATATAACTAACACATCTCTCAACATAAAACTCTGTTACTTTGGTTTTGATTAAGTTATTCTCTCCTAGTTCTCATGCCACGTCTCTGATCACTCTCCTTTTTAGTTTCTTCTCCTGACCTTCTCCTTTATCACTTAACTGCTGCTATTGCCCAGGACTCTTGCCTTGTCCCTAGTCTTACTCTGTAATGTGACTCAGTGGTCTCAGTCACTCGCCAAGGTTCCACCGCTACCCACATGATGACAACACCTCGATCTCTCTCTTGATCACACTCATGAGCTCCAGATCCAAATATCCAATGCCCACTGAACATCTCTCTCTTGATACCCCACTGGCATCTCAAACCCAACATGCTCAAAATGCAATGAATTGTTTTCTCTACATACCAACTCTGATCTCCTCTTGAGCAACTACTTAATGATACCATCAGCCCTTCAGGATAAAAACTTGGGGGTCATTCCTACTCCACCCTCCACACATCCAATCAGTCCCATCATCTCAATTTACCTGTTGTTGTTGTTGTTTGCCGTCGAGTCGCCCCGACTCATAGCGACCCCTCCTTGGGTTTCCGAGGCAGTATCACTACGGAAGTAGGATTGCCCAA